GGAGCAGAGTTTTCGGGCATGGAGAGGCCGCCGCTGATCTAGGACTAGTTGAAAAGCTGAAGAGGCAGCTAACGTTGAGGTGAAGTGGGGAGCAGAACGAGCAGGTCCACTCACACGCGGCTGATTATCAGCTTCATGAGCATCACTTGCGCCCCCGCCCGCCCCACACTCCCGCACCCACGGGATGTTGGCGCCGGGGTCCGACACAGCCACTCTTTTCGGTCCATTGCGCCCTCCCCTCCCCGCCCACTCCCCAGGAAATCATAAAGGCAGCGGGGAGGACATTCCTGAGCGCTGTTACGCCACGGTTACGCGCCCGCTGCAAAAGAATATAAAAGCGACCGCGATGAAGTAAATATCCGACGAGGCGGGACAAAACCACAGTGTCTGATTCCCATCGTAAACACGGCGTGGTGTGGCGCGGCGGGGCGCTGAGCCCACTATGAATGGGTGGGCGGATGCCGTGAGGCTTGCAGTAATTCGACCGCAGAGAGAGAGAGAGAGGGAGAGAGAAATAGAGAGAGAGTGAGTGAGTGAGAGCGGGAGGGATGAGAAGGGGGTGAGAGGGAGAGAGAAAGAGAGAGGGGAGGGTAACAAATTCAATATGGGTGGCAAGAAGTGTGTGTGTGTGTGTATGTGTGTGTCTGTGTGTGTCTGTGAGCGTGTGTGTGTGTGTGTGTGTGTGTGTGAGAGAGAGAGAGAGAGAGAGAGAGAGAGAGAGAGAGAGAGAGAGAGAGAGGGAGTTCTCGTACCCGTTCGTTTTAATTACGCGCCAGATGTATTGCTGTGCTGCCCGCATGTGCGCTACCCATCGGTTTAACTTGCGAATAACTCAGTGGCGGGGCGCGCCGACGACGCGGCGGCACTTACGTTGTGGGTCCAGGTGACGAGCGTGGCGTTGGGCTGGGCGTCCACGCCGCACTCGAGGTACACGTCGTCGCCGACCTTGATGGCGCTCGCGTTGATCTTGGCGCCCATGCGGAGCGAGACCTTTGGCGGATCTGCACGGACACAAATAGATAAGCTTTCGCCATGACGAGGAGGTGCATTTTCACTCTTGTTTATCACGTCATGCGTCCAGGAGTTGTCCGAGACTCACATTGCACGCTGAGTCGCCAGGCGTCCCGGATCTCGCTGTCGGCGAACAGGGGGTTCTCGGCGCGACACTCGATGTACCTGCCGTCGTCCTGCGGCCGAGGCGTGAGCGTCAGCAGGCTGATGGTCTCCGTCTCGGAGCCGACGAGCTGCGGATCAAGAAGACGACAGACGCGGTGAGGTGGGGCGCCTCGTGGGGCAAGCCAGCCAGGAGTCGGCTCCTCCAGCGGGGCGCCCACCTCACCTTCCGCACGGGGCCCTTGATGGCGGCGCCGCCCCGCCACCACCAGCTCAGCCTGGCCGCCGGCCGGGAGCCGGAGCAGCGGCACTGGAACTCGTAGCTCTGGCCCGCCAGCAGCACCCGCTCGCGCCCCACGATGCGCACGCTCAGCGGCCGCACTGGAAACAGACGCGCGCGCAATGTTCAAACTCCGCAAGTCTGCGACTCTCAGCTGTGTGCTGCTGCAAGTGTTCAAGTAGATAGTTGTGACGCTTGCGTTTGGACACGTCCTAGGAGCCCTGAGTGGTAAGCGTTGAATAGAAGGGATGAGGGCAAGAGGGCAAGAGCTTAGTGGAACACTCACTGCAGGGAAAACTTAAAACTAAAATGGAAAGTTGCTGTCAGACCCTTAAAAGTGTATTTACCGTTTCAGCATTTACCAGTGTGTACACTCTAAATTATGTAAAGAAACAATTTTGTCCCTAAAATGGGAACGTTGTTGTGTACAAATAACGGATGCAATTTAGTTCCTAAAACTGGACAAAGCTTTACACAATTTCCCTAGTGTAGTCCTGTCCAGCACTGGACACAAGTATTGCAGGTGTTTATGTTCACGAAAACGTTCTTTTTTTCGGAACAAAAATATCCATTTGCATTAAGAGTGTAGTTCGGCTGTGACAACTCACTTTCCCAATGCCGACGTGGGCGTCGTGCTCTAGGAATCGCCTGCTTTTCGCTCGCTAGTACGAGTGTTTTCAAAGGAAAAACTGACAATGTATTTTTGTTCAGTAACGAGCCATGAATAGGCAACCTCGCGCGAGTGTAGATACTATCAAAAGCAGCCGAGACCGGAGCGGAGCGCGGAGGAGCAGGGGATCTGCGACAAGACGACGAGCGCTGCGAGATCTGCGGAGAAGAAAGTACGGGGAGGGGGATGGGGGGTGGCTCGGAGGAACGGGGAGGCAGTGGAACCACCCGCAAAGCACCTTATCCTCCCATATAATTAATGTCTTCACCACGTACGACTTTCAACAAAGGCACGCCAGTTACACCGCCAAGCGGAATCCTGAGAAAATAACCGCGCGCACCGCCGTCGCGATATTGTTCCTCCACAAACTTCTCTTAACAATGAAACCTTTATTTTCACTGGAAGGAAGGCGAAGGTTTCCCGCCGCGCAAGTCTCCCCCTCCTTCTCCCCCCCCCCTTCCCCGCGACACGCACGGGGGCCCCGCCCTCCCTCTTCTCCGAGTTCGGGATGGTTGGGGGTGACACCGCCACCGCTCTGCGCGCTCTGCGCCGCTCCCTGCGCGGGGCCCAACAATGGCCGCGCAGCGTAATAGTCGAGCAAATGCTCGTTCGGCTCAGAGCGGCCCGTAAACAGGGTTCAGCTGCTCCAATCAGACGGGAATATTTCCTCAGAGAAACTTCCCCAGGCGTGGTCGGCGGGGCCCTCACTGTAAAAAGTCATCT